GATAGTGGATCAACAACAACCATATGCATCCATCCAATTAGTGGATGACCTACTTTACAACCTATATCCATTCATCTTAACCATCCACAACATAATGGGTGAGTTAATTGCAGATAAATTTGGGTGGATTGTATTTTCAACTCCTCAATCTCACCTGTACTTATGATTAATGATCCTCGAGCTCGAAATAGTTAAGGGTGAATATATAGTTTCATCATGCACAACAGTCAAGCGTGTATAGGTGCACCGGATGAGCAAAAAATATATGGATTTGAACTTTAAAAATGGACTCTTGTGGGACAAGCATTTTGTGTTGCAAGAGACGATGCAAGAAAGGAAAACCAAAAAAATTGTGTATATGTTGGAGTTGGAGTTATTAGATGTGAGCACTTCTACTATATTATATAGTATTGGTGCTTTAATGTATAATTTAAAGTTGTACCATAACATTAAATGTATAAGTTTAAGTTGTACCATAAAGCAATTTGTACCGTTATGTTATGGTACAACTTTACAACTTGAAGTTGTACCATCACATAAAGGTACAAGTTCAAGTTGTACCATAAAAGAATTTGTGAAAAAGTATAGGTACAATCTGAAGTTGTACCATAACGTAAATGTACAACCGAAGATCCGGTTATAAATCTGAATTTTTTACAATCTGAATGTGTAAAAACCCTAATTTCTCATACTCCGAATTAACAACTGAAGATCCGGTTATAAAGTTTTACAAAATTGAGTTTTGCACAGAAAACTATAGCCAAAATTTACTCAACGAGAGAGAGAGAGAGAAAAAAAAAAGAGATATGGAACGGCGTAGGAGAGAGATGATGACATTGGCCGTTTCATACACAAGAAGACGATAAAGATGGTGGCAGTGCATGGTTGGAGGAAGATGCCCAATTTCCCTTACGTGCCTAAACAGTAAAGCTCCCAACGGACATGTTTCAAACCCATTCTGAAGACCAGTTGCATGTTGGACAATTATTTCAACCCTAAATATTTATTACACAATAATTCAAATAAGACCAAAACCTTCAACACGGGAAAAGAAAAGTGAAAAAAAAAAGGAAACAAATCAATCCATTTCTTCATCATATCCCCTATAAATTGAGCATACCGGTTGAATCTCTCACACTCACCCACTCTCAAAGCTTTTCATTCTGCAGAAAACCCTCCTACTCCTAGAGAAGGAAGAACCCACCAGAAGTTCTCACCATGGCTGCATCTTACAACTCTGTCCCTTCCATGGTAATTCACTTTCCTCCACTCAAATCATTTCATGTTGGCCATTTTGTAAACAAACTTCCATTCATTCATTTTGTAACAAATTCCATGCTCCATTGTTTACGAGCTTAGAATGGTATCAAACTATGTTTTATACAGCAAACTTCAGTTAAAACATTGTTGTTGATTGTGTTGTTGGAATTATCCTTGTTAGTTGTGACCTAACATACTAGAGTGGTCATTTCCTGATACCATGGCCCTAGGTAATGGTAGTTGCCTATGATGGTTGTTAGTGATGTCAATTTCGATTTGACTCGTATTACGCAATTTGTATGATTTGTGATTTGTTTTGGTTTGGTATACACATGATTTGAAATACCCTGATTCGTCCTATCCTCGATCCATTTTGTCTAATTTTCTTAAATTATTCAGGATTTTGCTTTTACTACTTTGTATTTTAACTATAATGAAAGTCATTAATAGGTAATAGTCTTATTAATCCAATAATTTAACTAGATTTATCATCTTGTTTCTCAATTTTAATGAAAACAAATAAATGTTCAAGTGTTTTTACTTCAAAATAAATATCTCGCTGAGTCAGACCTGCCTCGATCGATGCTCGAGATATAATACCCAACTTGCACCTGGTAAGGTGTGAATATCGAGATACCCATTTTCATTCCTAATGGTTTACATACCTCCTAAAACCACTACGAGAAAATTTCCTATAGCATGAATTGAGTGTTCTTTTCTAGCTCTCCATTACTACTACTACATAATATATTAACTATAATGAAATTTTAAATAGATAATAATACAATTTCTCAGATAGTTTAACTACAATTATCATATTGTAGATTGTTTCTCAATTTTTAATAAAAAAATAAATATTTTAAATAATTTTTCTTTAAAATACATATCCATATAAGTTGGATTATCTCAAACCGTATTCAAAATAAAATACCCAACTTACACTCAGACCTGTCACAAGACAAATATCAATGTCGAGATACCGTGCAAACCTACTATTGCCATTCCTCCTAAAACCACTATAGAAAATTTTCCTCTACCATACTTGAGTCTCTTATGTAACTCTCTATTACGGTAAGAAATTAGGCATTCGAGCAAAAAAAAAAAAAAAAAAAAAAAAATATTTCTGGAGCAATTGTGATAAGTGTTAAAGCGAAATTCTGCTGCCTATAATGTGGACGACAGATAATGGAGGAAGAAGGAAGATTCGAGGCCGAAGTAGCAGAGGTGCAAGCATGGTGGAACTCAGAGCGGTTCAAGCTAACCCACCGCCCGTACTCCGCCAAGGACGTGGTGGCGCTCCGCGGCAACCTCCACCAAAGCTACGGCTCCAACGAGATGGCCAAGAAGCTGTGGCGCACCCTCAAAACCCACCAGGCCAACGCCACCGCCTCCCGCACCTTCGGCGCCCTCGACCCAGTCCAAGTCACCATGATGGCCAAACACCTCGACACCATCTACGTCTCCGGCTGGCAATGCTCTTCCACCCACACCTCCACCAACGAGCCGGGCCCCGACCTCGCCGACTACCCGTACGACACCGTGCCCAATAAGGTCGAACACCTGTTCTACGCCCAGCAGTACCACGACCGAAAGCAGAGGGAGGCCAGAATGAGCATGAGCCGCGAGGAGCGGGCTCGAACCCCTTACATCGACTACCTGAAACCAATTATAGCCGATGGGGACACCGGATTCGGGGGGACAACTGCCACCGTGAAGCTCTGCAAGCTGTTTGTGGAGCGCGGGGCAGCTGGGGTTCACATCGAGGACCAGTCTTCGGTGACCAAGAAGTGCGGCCACATGGCTGGGAAAGTGCTGGTTTCGGTGAGCGAGCACATCAACCGGCTGGTTGCTGCCAGGCTGCAATTCGACGTGATGGGCGTGGAGACGCTGCTGGTGGCGAGGACTGACGCGGTCGCTGCGACATTAATTCAGACCAACATCGACCCCAGGGACCATCAGTTCATTTTGGGCGTGACGAACCCGAATCTTCAGGGGAGGAGCCTGGCGGCGGTTCTGGCTGAAGGGATGGCGAATGGGAAAACCGGAGCTGAGTTGCAAGCTATTGAAGACAACTGGGTCGAGTCGGCCCAGTTGAGGACTTTCTCCGAACACGTGGTGGGCATGATTGAGAAAATGAACGCCCCCGAGTCAGAGAAGCGGAGGAAGGTGAACGAGTGGATGAATCTGTCCAGCTACGAGAAATGCCTCTCCCACGACCAAGCCCGCGAGCTCGCTGCTCGACTGGGGATCAACAACCTGTTCTGGGACTGGGATTTGCCAAGAACCCGGGAAGGGTTCTACCGATTCAAAGGCTCGGTGATGGCTGCTGTGGTCCGAGGCAGAGCGTTCGCTTCCCACGCGGATGTGATCTGGATGGAGACGTCCAGCCCAGATTTGGTGGAGTGCACGGATTTCGCTCAGGGGGTGAAGTCCAGTTGCCCGGAGACGATGCTGGCGTACAATCTGTCGCCGTCGTTCAACTGGGATGCTTCAGGGATGAGCGACGAGCAGATGAAGGACTTCATACCGAGGATTGCGAGGCTGGGTTTCTGCTGGCAGTTCATTACGCTTGCTGGGTTCCACGCGGATGCGTTGGTGGTGGATACTTTTGCGAGGGATTTCGCGCGCAGAGGGATGCTGGCGTATGTGGAGAGGATACAGAGGGAAGAGAGGAGCAATGGGGTGGATACTCTGGCGCATCAGAAGTGGTCCGGGGCTAATTTCTACGACAGGTACCTGAAGACTGTGCAGGGCGGGATTTCTTCCACTGCTGCCATGGGCAAAGGTTAGCGTTTGTGAAAATTTGGTTCGAGTTCCATTTCCTTTTTCAGAGATCGTTTTGGTCCTTCTATTGTTTGGTCTCAACAGAATTATGGGTAATTTTGCAGGGGTGACTGAGGAGCAGTTCAAGGAGACATGGACAAGGCCAGGAGCCATGGAAATGGGTGGAGCTGGATCTGAGGTGGTTGCCAAGTCGAGGATGTAAGGAACAAAGAGAATTATGGGTGCTATGGAAGAAGGGTTTGTTTTCAGAGTAATGTTTTTTTGAAGAGGGTGGGAGGGGGAATCCAACCAGGATCCTGACATTATGGAACTTGGATGAAGTGATGAATAATTTGTGTGCCAAATAATAGAATATTTTACTGTTTAGGCCAAATACTGAGGCCAATTCCGAGGAATCCAAGGCCACAATTGTTATTTTTTGTCATTTCGCTTTATAGTTTGTAGTTTTGATTAAGACATTTGCAAGCATTTGTTTCTGTTATGCTGTAATTTTCCCATCAGATGATTCCTATATCAATATATGTTCCTATCAGTTGCTTTCCCTCGTCATGTGTTTTCTCATTATGGTAGTATATTTCAGGTTTGCCTAACATGTTAGGGATCATAATCCAAGCCATTTGATTAGGGTTGGAAATCTTCTTTCAAGTTGTTACAAAACCAGGTTGTGTTAGGTACTCCGATTAGTCAGTCATGAGCCGCTTCAAGTTGCTAGGTCCGTGTTTTAGAAGTCGTCACAGTCACAGAGTAGAGCAAACATTCCAGGTTCTTCTGTAGAAACGATGTAGGCGCCGCTTCAATCCATATTACTATTTGACTGCGACGTTTCATTCGTTTACTCGAAACTCTCTCAAATTCGAGTTCAGAAGTGGCATCAGAGCAACAAATCCGAAATATTAATCAAAATGCAAATTTGTGATTAATCACTGTTGCACATAAGGTCTTGAACCTGTATATGCCCCAACAAAAACTATAGGATAGAGGTCAAAATTACAGAGGGGAGGCCTTAAATTGAGTGAGAGCCATTGGAAGAAATGCAACTGTAGTGTGATGTTATTGAGTGACACAGAAAATAGTTGCGTAATGAATGGATAAAGCACTACTTTTTTCTTTCTTCTATATATATATATCTATCTGCATGTGTGTCTTTCTGTGTGTATTTTCCTTGTGTGTGGGGGGGATTTCAGGCCTTCTTGTTCTTCCAGGGTTTGAAAACGGCTAGTACAATGAAACCGGCAATGAGCAAGAGGAGAATGATTGCGATCATCATGCATTTTCTCGAGTTCTTCTGCAGACTCTTGGCCGTCTGAAGGGCATCTGTCCCTGTCTGAATATGATCCACCGCATTTGTCACCTGCTCGGAAAAAGGAAATTACTAAGTAAAATCTTCTCTTTATATATCTCTAGCATTAAGAGGAAAGGTAATGGATCATGAAACTGTACACGATCTCAAGCAAATGAGATTGGCCGTTCAAGGTACAACAGAGATTAAGAAAATTCGCGTAAAAAGTCAGTTATGATATCACGATAAAATCATACCAGATTGGTCACCATTACATGGTTCAGTACATATCCAAATATATATGCTACTAAATGATGTGTAAGCAGAAATGAAAAGCACTTACAGAAACAGAAGCAGAATACCTGGTTTTCGATGTTGTCTAATATCTCTCCTTGAGCCTCAACTAGGACAGCCATGTCAAGGTATATCTGACAACAAGATTGGGACAGAAGTTGTTAGGATCTGCTAGCTTGTTGAGCAAGTGAGTAGCTAGATGTGGGATAGAGTGACTTACCTGGTGTAAATCAAGAAGCTTCTTTTCGATCTCCTTCACTGCATCATGCCTCTCATGGATTTCTTGGACCGTATTTAACACCTACACAGACAAGGCTCAAAATGGCTGAGGACTAATAGTTGCAGATAGTTGCAGAATAAAAATTTGCTGGTCTTTCTTTCGAGCAGAATGATGTATGGTAATTATTTAAAAGCAGCCAAACCTGTCCTCGGCCCATTTCTTGCATTGCATTTTGAAAGATCTGCTCGCTATCTCCCGTCTCAATTAGTTGGTCAATCGTCTAATGTAAATCAAGAACACCTCATTAGAACAAGAACAAAATAAAAAGAGATCAAATTCAGCATAAAAGACTTTAACTTCTTGTTTCAATATCCCAGGCTCACCTCCTCATCCGGTGTAGTTCCAGTAACTGCTCAAATTGTGATGAGAAATAAGTAAAAAATGAGGTGGTCAGTCTCAATAAATGCAGTCCATATAATCCAAGCTAGCTCTAATTGAATTCAGGCCATCATTTTCCAAGCAAAGGATTCGTACCGGTCATGACCCTTCTCTCAACAACCTCTCGATATTCATCTTGTATCTTCTGCCTTAGGGTCTGAAACTCGGTCATCAGGTCCCTAAACCTTTTCGTTAATGAACTGCAATCCACACAAAAGAAATGTACACCAAATATGAAGTGCTAGGAAAAGGAGCTCATCACAAAATTTGATCAACTCTGGAAATGAGAAGCCATTGTTACTTTGAAACGTTCATCCTAGCTCTGTCGACCCCAGTTCCCTTTCCGCAGCCAGGTTTCTGTCGATTTGCTAAGTTCTGATAGTTAAAAACAAAAGGGGAAGAACCAGTCCAGTAAGTAAATATGATGCAGGCCTTCAAGGATACATTTAAACAGTTAAAACTAGATAAACACACAACACAACAGGAGTAAAGTAAAGTGTGTTACATCTTTGTTTATGGCTTCTAGTTTTGCTTTGACGAAACGTGCTGTCTTGCCCACTTCATCAATGTCTTTCTCCATTCGCTTTTTGATGGCTGAATGGTTGGATGGTCAAAAACAATTCAGACCTCAGGTGCTTCAATGTGCTGACTGGAACTTGTTGTTATATTCAAACTTCAAAAGGTTTCAATTAGCATAATTAACTACATGTCTACATCCAAAGAAGTTGCTTACCTTTCATGGAAGAAGCTTTTGTAACTGTCTTTGATTCCTCATTAGCATCCTGCAGATGATAACATTAGTAAATTACATGCAGTTAAAGAATGCAATAGGAGGGGTCTTCTTCCACAAGATAAAACTATAACAGAGAGAATTCGTAGAATTGAACCCTTGGTTCTGCTCAATTCGTTATATTACTCTATCCATACCAAAGTTATCTATAGCTCAATGCCTGCTGATACTAAAGAACTAGACACATACCTTCAAGTTCTTCAGCAGACCAGCAACTTTATCAACATTTTTCTCAACTTCTTGTATCTAGTAAAAGGTCATATGAAAAAAACAAAACAAGTTAGGGAAGGAAAGAGCTAGAGCAGTCACAACGCCTCAAGTTTAGCTAAAGAAACACAACCCAGAACATATTTATTTAAAGCTTCTCTTATACAGTACTCTGCATAATGCTCATGGCCGTATATAAATAAACAAAAACTTGTACCTGCTTATTGAAACTTGCCATTCCCATATCAGAGCTACTCCTGGAGCTCTGGCTGTGACCCTGGACCCCCATCTCAATATCGTTACTCTGAACCCGGTTCGTAGGACCAACGAACGAGTCCTGAAACCATAACAGAATACCACAAACTCAGTTTTCATCATTTTAACTTTAAACATACTCATCAGTCATCACCAAGAGTAGCAAGGAAAAGGGTTTTCATAAGCATTATGCAAACATATGATGGTCACTAGACTAAGAGAATAAAATTAGGGTTGCAATGAAATATCTACATACAAGAGTAATCTCTTGCATGTTCAATTCTAGCAACGAACTTGTGTCAAATCTGGCGAGAAATTCAAATTCTTAACACCCCAAGGACCTGAGAGAATTTTAAATTATTACAGGTACAATTTCCACTTGGCGCCTTTATGATCAAAACAGGGAATCACAATGAAAATTTAAGAATTCTCCCCAGAACATAAGAACAAAGAAAAATCGAAACTGAAAGCATTCTAGTTCAAGTACAATCTGCAGAACTGTTCTTATCTCTTTACTATACCAATTGATCAAAACTAGGAGAAACCGAAGAAATGACGACAGAAGGTGAGAACCCAGTACTTGGAAACCAGAAAAGAATTGAACTTTACCGTGAGCAGGTCGTTCATCCTGTTTTCTTTTCCTCTGATCGAACTCTCACAGGAAGAAAACGAGTTAAAGGAGTCAGACAGAAGTCAAACCAGAGAATCAAAACGGAAAAGAAAGGGTGGGAGAGATGGTCTTGGGGTTCAACGCCAAATAAAATAAAAGCTGTAATAAAACTGAAACCGAAACGGGAAAACTTAATGGATTTTTCTTTTTGCTATTTCAAAGGCAAAAGGTTGTTGTTTGGGTAGCCGGCAGCCAGCCAAGAGACAGGGGGGGGCAGTGATTGAAGACTGTTTCCGTTTCTTCATTAGTTTTCGTTGGTTTTGTTTTGTCCTTAATGGGGTTTTAGTTCATAATTATGTATGAGATGACTGTCGCCGGCCAAGTCGTATCATAGTCTTCCTTTCGTTTTCGATGAATGGAGCTTTGGACAGCCTTTGAATTTTGTTTACATGAACAAGATTTTTTGTTTGTTTCGTCCTTCGTTTTTATTCTCTCTTTTCTTGGTTGGGGCTTTCGCCTATGTTGGCAAGCTGTAGTGGAGATTACTAGTCTTGTATGGTGACTACAAGCAAAATTCTTTCGGTTGTCAGGTGTGTGATTCTCGACTCGTTTGTGGATCTGGTAATTTGAAATCTCATTGAGAAGGGCTCGGGTTAATTTGTTCACTTGTAAGGGTTGGAAAAATGACACCCAGCTATTAAATGCAACTTATATAATTTAACATTTATATTAAATATATATGGGGAATTAAATACACCTTATTAATTACTTGCTTTTTTAAATTTAAAATTACACTAAATACAATTCTCTCCCTATCTCTGATTTTTCTTTTTCCAATAGCCTCTAACCGACCACCAGGCTTCCTTCAACCGGCGACCGCCACACTTCTCTGGTGAAATCCTGCAGGCAGACTCCCTCTGGCCACCTGCAAAAATGTACAACCACATTAAAAAAAGGGCTAATACCACTGGGAAACCCGAACTATAAACTTTGTGTCATTTGTGTCCTAAAGTATTTGATACGACATTTGTGTCCCAATCTATTATAGTTTTGTGTCATTTATGTCCTGACGATTTTGTTGACCGTTATATATAACAGTTGACCAACGGAAGTCAACATTAACATTGACTTTTGTTGACGTGGCAGCCACGTAGATGCCACGTCAGTGACACCTCATATTTTTAATTAAAAAAAAATATATATTGTTATAAAAATAATTAAACCTAAATTTTATTTATCTTTTTATGTCAAGAACCAAAACTCCTCATATCCAGATCCACCGCCTACCCCAAATTCCGCCATTGACGACAAGAACAACAACCCAATCGACAAGAAGCAAGAAGAGAGAAGAGGAAAAAAGGGGGTGAGATACGGTGACAACCCTTTTTAGGGTTGTTATTTTCACAACCCACTTTATCCACCATTAGATTCATTCTCTTTCATGCTTTTTTAAATTGATGGATGAGATTGGTACAAGGGTATTTTTGGACGAAAAAATATGATCACATGGGATTATAACACATATTAAATTCAATATTCTTCTCCTCTCTCTAAAAACCCTAATTAGAATTTTCATATCATTCTCCCTCTCTCTGCGGCCGCCACCAACGCCTGTTCTTCCTTCTTTCTTCTTCCTCCTCTTCTTCTTCCTCCCATCTCGTCAACTCCTCCTACCGTCGTCGCCTTCCTCCCGCCGCCGCCGCCACCTTCCTCCTACTGCCCTCCTCCCACCGACACCTATTCCCGTCGTCGCATCCACAACAGTCCCGCTGCACCTCCGCCCCTGTCGGCTGCCCCTTGGCTCTTCACACCGTTGCCTCTGCCTTTGTCGCTGCCGTCTCGCGCTCTCCGCCCCTGCCACGAGGTCTCTACCGCGAGGTCATCGATTACCCCTGCCACTAGCCTCCTCTCCTTACCTCTTCCGGTGTGAGTCCCTCTGCCTCTTTGTGCCTCCTCTCCTCTCCTCCTCTTCGTTTTTCATATCCATGATTTTTGGATTTTCAGATCTGGTTTTTTCTAGTGGTACTTATTTTCTAGTGGTAGTGGTACTGGTTTTTTACTGGTAGTGGTACTATATGGAGTGGTAGCTGGTAGTGGTATGCTATCACTATCATTTGGTACCAATACCATCTGGTACCTGGTAGTGGTACCACTACCAGGTACCAGATGGTATTGGTACCAAATGATAGTGGTACGCTACCACTACTAAGTATCAGAAGGCAATGGTACACTACCACTACCCGGTACCAGATGGTAGTGGTACCAGTGGTAGTGGTAAGTACCACTAACGTACTGACATAGTTTTAATTTTTTACAGGTGGCCAGAGCGAGTCGTATTCAAGGATCTTGCCGGAGAAAGTCTGCTGGTCGGAGTGGAGTGGCTGCTTGAAAAGGAAGAGAGAGATAGAAAGAGAGAGATAGGAAGAGAGAGTTGTATTTATTGTAGGATTCAAAATTTTAAAAAACATGTATTTAATATTAGTTTTTAATTCCCAATCTATAGTTAATAAAAAATTAATTAAAAAATTCGTTTTTTTTGTCATACCCAAAATACCCTTGGTTGTCAATCTCACAACCCCTTAGGGGTTGTTACCGTATCCCATCCCGGAAAAAAGATGAAGACCCAATCGACAAGAACCCAATCGTCGACGCCTTCGTCCTCGTCGTCATCATCATCTCCGTCGTCGTCGTCATCCTCCTTCTCGTCATCGTCGACGTCTTCCTCATCTTCCGGCGCCTCGACCTCCTCCCCTTCCTCCGTGTCGCTGTCGTCCTCGGTTGAAATGGCAATCACCTCCTCCTTCAAATCCTTCCCTTCCAGCTCCGTGATTTTCATGTTGCTTCTCCGCCCCAGCGAACAGATCGGGAAAATCTAACGGAAGCCAATGAAATTTTCAAATCTCTTTTCCAGGAAAATAATTATTATTGAAATAAAAAAAAAATTTGGGGAGCTCAGCGAAGAGGATGGGGGGAGGGAGGAGGAATAGAGACGAGCTGCTTCGTGTGTTGAAGCAGTAGCTCTGCAGCTCCGATCTAGGCTGTCGAAACCCGGGGTGACGCGGATCGATGAGCTGGAATGAAATCGAGGAGGGACAGTGGCGATGGATCTGGACCGAGAGAAAGAAAGCAACGGTGGGCGGCAGCGGTGGATTTCACGGCCATGGTAACCACCGCCGTCGTCGATTCAGACGATAGCCAGGTAACCGTCGTCGATTTCAGCGTTGGATTTCACGGCCATGGCTGCTGGGATTTTTTTTTTATTTTGTTTTTGTTTTAGATTATTCATTTATATAAAAAATAATTATAAATTTATATTATAAATTCCACGTCAGATGCCACATCAGCGCTGACGAAATTTTTTGTTAAAAATTAACGGTCAACGCCAGTCAACTATAACGGAAAAATAGTTTGGGACACAAATGTCGTATCGAATACTTCAGGACACAAATGACACAAAGTTAATAGTTCGGGTTTCCTAGTGGTATTAGCCCTAAAAAAAATGTATAAGTGCAGTGATACGTTGTATCACTACATTTAAACTCAGATATGATATTTGTAACAGTGCAGTGGTATCCCTACGAGTGCATTGGTAACGCTACAGGTGCACTGATACAAAATATCATATACGAGTTTAAGTGGAGTGGTACAAATATCAATGCAGTGGTACAAAAATCATAACGGGAAATCGAAAAGTCAGACCTGGAAATTGATACATGCACGGAGAGGAGATGGGGAGAGGAAACGGTGGCAACAAGATGAGAGTGAGGAAAGAAGAGGGATTACTTGTTTTTTTAGAGAGAATTGTATTCCCCCCCCCCCCCCTAAGCAGTTTCCTTTATTGATGCAAATAGAGAACTAATACAACGAAGCATAAGCTATACGACTTCTGCGCAATATCACCTCCAACCCAACTCAACATACCTGCTATCCTGTTTATATCTATCGACATGTAACCCCCCCCCCCCCCCCAAAAAAAAAAGTTATCCCAAACCCACCAAGTCAGTCCGCAAAGAGGCATTCCCAGAAACTATAATTGTAGCTTAGTTTGCAGAGCCTATGCTACTTTTGCAGGTTCACGCCTTGACTCTCCATGAACTACTCCACAACGTTCTTTCTAGATAAAGGAAATCAATATACACTAAATGACACCATGCCACCTCGCCCTCAAGCAGGTCGAGCAGCAGAACTTGCATTCAAAAGCATTACATCCCAATCACCTGGATCAAGAAGCTTGCATCTCAGGACCAGGCCTAGATGTTTCGACAGTTGAGGGACATATGTTTCCTAGTTTCCACTGCATATTCACATAATGTGCATGATGCATCAGTGACTTTGCCCCAGCTCAGTAGTTTATCCCGCGTTACAATAGCATTCTTAATAACTAACCAGACAATCAGGCTGTAGTGAGGCGGGCAAATATTACTCCAAACAAGCTTATACCAGAAGAATGTTGGTTGTTTGCTTCTCAAAGTCTCCCCAACCACTCTCACTGAATAAACCAATATTCTATTCGCCCCGTAATTGAGCTCACCATTTCTTACTTGCATCCATGGCCTAATTTTGTCCCTTAATTTGAGCAGCTTTGGTCAAGTCCATGAGATGCTGTATTGAGTTCTCATCGACCATAGATCACCCTGTTTGCATTTATATTCAGACATCCAGGCCACCCAAAGTGTTCCTGACTTCATCAAGAACAACCATAACATTCTAGCAGAGCATGCTTGATTCCACACACCCAGGTCCTTTATTCTCAGACCTCCTTCTCTTTTTGGGAAAGTAATTTTGTCTCACACAGTCTGGAGTGACTGCTGCGCAGGCACAGGCACCGGATGTATCACAGGGGAAGCCACAGACTCCACCTTCTTATGCTTATGATGCGCAACACAATCACCCTTAATTCCAAATAGGTGACAAACAGAGCATATGAGAGGCAAATTGCAGTAGGTAACACAAACTCTCAAGGAAGAATCATCATCAGGCCACAACTCAACATGATCAGGGCACTCACTATCCACATTTAGTTCCACTAACACCTTTGCATAACCATGTTGGTCCCCTATACGAGTTGTGTGATCAATACCTAGAGGAACACCCAACCAACTTGCGATTCTACTCAGTCCTTGGAAATCATAGTATTCAAGTGGAACATTGGCAAGATTAACCCAGATAGGCAAAGCTTTTCTAACCAGATCTTCCATACTGATTCCCGGTACCCACAACCTAAGATAGAGCAAGTTATTAAGATAAAAATAAGGGCCATTCTCTAGAATCCATTCACTGAATTTCGGATTCGGCAA